TGTATCAGGTTAGGTAGTTTTAATTTCCTTTTTCCCCCAACTCTCTTCTAAAGCTGACTGTGAAAATTCCAGCTTACTGCTGTTTCAAAATCTTATGTTCAACAAGAATCTCTTGGTTTTGATATTAATTTGGTAGGAAATGGTGCAGAATATCATAATTAGGGCTGCTTGTGATGTTTGGGAAACATCTTTATGGGCACATTTTGTTCTGGCAGGTTACTTTCCAGATCACCTTTAATAAAAAATCAGCCACTGTTGCTTTTAAAGAATACTTTATTCTGAAACAAACAGCATATAGTGGTAACATTTTAATTAAGGATCCTGTTTTATTCTCACAGTGAAATTACCATTCTTTTGTTTCTAATTAAACAGTTCTAGCAAACTAACAAGTGACAAAATTGGTACTAATATTTGGGTATTGAAGAAAGGTGGGGTTTGGTTGGTGTTTCGGTTGGTTTTGGGTTGTTGGGGTTTTTTTAATACCTCTATATTTAATTTTGAATCAAACGTCAGACTTTGCCCTTTCATTTTTCTTCAAACTATTTCCCCCAGATTACCAATCATTCCTACAAAACTAAAAAAAAAAAAAAAAAGGTGAAAATGCACTTTTTTTTTAATTACAAAATACTCCACAATTACACACTGTTAATATTTAGTGCTGTAATAGAAATTACGATGGCAAAAAGTGGCTTGCTTTTAGGAGGACCTCTGTGAGTTCAAGCTGAGCCCTCAAGTTCTGACTTTGTGCTGATCTTTACTCTCCAAGGAATTCAGTTTTGGATATCAGCTTCACCCCACTTTCCGCATGAGGATTTCTCTTTTCAGCAGCCAGCACAGACAGTCTGCTGCCTTTCAAAGCAGCTGCAGCTTAAATTCATGGGCTGTGGGCAGAGGCTGTCCATAATCTCCCTTTCCTGGTTTCCTGCTGGAGAGCTGGTTCAGCACATCCTCTCCAAAATCCATCTCACCCAGAAGATGCTGCATCACAACAATTCTTGCCAGGAAGGGGCAATGGCAGGAAACTCGTTCTCACTGCATCCTGCAGCCCTGCCGAGGGTGGGTTCAGCTCAGTTCAGGCTGCCAAAGGTCTCCTCTGCAAAACAAACCCCGGGCTGCCAGTCCTGCACCTCCAGCCTGTTTGTAAAAGCACGAGGCTTGGCTGATGGAAACAAAGCGACATTTGCAGACACTGAATTCCAACACCTCTCCCTACAGCTGCTCAGCCTCACATTCCAGCGGTTGGGATGTACTGCCCAGTGTCCAAACCTGTGTTGTGGAGTCACAGAATCACAGAACGCTTTAGGTTGAAAGTGTGATAAATGTGATTCGTGCTAATTAAACTGTAACTGTATTAGCAAACTTGTATTTAGATCAATAGAAGACAATTGTTACAGAGTGAGGGGGGAGATGGGTGAGACAGGACAAAGGACATCTTCCAGATGTTGGGAGTCGAAGAAGGAGGTTGGAAGAGAATAGTAGAAGGATGTAGGTCTGACAAGCAGCATCTAGAAATAGAAAGTTTTGACCTTAAATGGGCCAAAATGGGATGATTCCAGGCATGGGACTCAATTAAAGTCTTGTTATGGAAAACATCTGCTCAGTCACACAGTGCACCTGCGCTACCTGCAGGTCACACCTCGGTCACTGATGAAGACGATGAGCCTTCATCGGAAATAAGACCCTCAAAAGGATGAGAGACCCCCTAAGCCATTAGTAGAGCATGTGCCATACATACAGTGACGTAGATTTTAGGAATGCAAACTAGGAGGAGTTTTCTAGAAACTTCTGTAACTTACAGTATATAAGTGGGGTTGTTAGCCTGGATGCTTTGGTACATGAGGAATGGCGAGCCCCTCCCCGTATCCCCGGTCGGAGGGGGGGGCCCCTCCCCGGTCTGTTTTGCTTATGCTTTATACGAACCTCAATTATACTAAATTACTTACTGCCAAATTTTGTATATTCTCAAATATATGCACTTTGATTGTATTCATCTCCAATACTTTAATTGTGTTCATTTATAATTGTTACTATTGAAAATATGCTTCTACATTTAATCTTGTTTTTTCATAAATTGGAAATAAAGAATATCATTCATAACAAAAGGAACCTTAAATATCATTTGGTTCTATCCCTGCCATGGGCAGGGACACCTTCCACTACCCACTACTTGGAGCACTTGGGTTCTCCAAGCCCTGTCCAGCCTGACCTTGGACACTGCCAGGGATCCAGGGGCAGCCACAGCTGCTCTGGGCACCCTGTGCCAGGGCCTGCCCACCCTCCCAGCCAGCAATTCCTTCCCAAGATCCCATCCAGCCCTGCCCTCTGGCACTGGAAGCCATTGCCTGTGTGCTGTCCCTGCCTGCCTTGTCCCCAGTCCCTCTGCAGCTCTCCTGGAGCCCCTTCAGGCCCTGGCAGGGGCTCTGAGCTCTCCCTGGAGCCTTCTCTTGTGCAGCTGAGCAGCCCCAGCTGTGCCAGGCTGGCTCCAGAGCACAGGGGCTCCAGCCCTGCAGCATCTCCGTGGCCTCCTCTGGGCTGGCTCCAGCAGCTGCACGTCCTTGTGCTGTTGGAGCCCAGGGCTGGAGGCAGCTCTGCAGGTGGGCTCTCACCTGAGCACAGGGGCACAGGGGCACAATCCCCCCTGCCCTGCTACCCACGCTGGGGGATCAACGCAGGGCATCGAGTCCCGTAACCCAGCACAGATCAACATAATCCCACCTCTGATCCACATATTCCTGCTGCTCATGGAGCATGTGATTGAGAAGACTGGCTTCAGATAGACCAAAACAGACAGGCTGGGTGACGGGGAGATAGCTGTGGGTTAGCCATCCTGGAAGGCAAATCTGATGTAAACCTTTGTGCTCCAGTAAGAGCTTTTCACACAGCTTACTGTAACTTCGCTGCAAAGTTGAAAAAATTTTCTGGGGGGGAAAAAAAAGGGCGAAAAAAAAATCACCAAAAAAACCTAAAACCGCGCCGAACTCCACAGAAATCGGCTTTAACATTTATTCCCGGCACTCCCCACCCCCTGCTTGGAAATGAGCCGGTTTGGCCACGGGGAAAGGAGTCCCGTGGGTGGGCAGGGCAGGGTAGGGTAGGGCAGGGCCGGGACGGGGGTGGCCCCGCGGGGAAGCCGGAGCCGGTGCGGGGACACAGCGCCAGAGCTGCCTGCGCCCGACATGGACTGCGGAGTTATCACCTCCAAAACCGTGCTGCTGCTGCTGAGCCTCGCCTTCTGGGTACCGAGGGGCTGTCCCGGGCTCGGCAGGGGGACGGGGACTCTGGGACGGGGACTCTGGAAGAGTGACGGGGACTCTGGGAGGCGGACGGGGACTCTGGAAGAGGGACGGGGGGCTCTGACAGGGGGACGGGGGACTCTGACAGAGGGACGGGGGGCTCTGGCAGGGGGACGGGGGACTCTGACAGAGGGACGGGGGGCTCTGGCAGGGGGAAACCCCCGCGATCCCTGCAGTGAGCCGGGCATTGCGCTTAGCTGTGCGCAGGTGACTCGTGCATTTCTGTGGGAAGCCCTAAATACGTACTTCTAAAGAGCAAGGAGATTTAGGGGCTTAAGTTTCGAAGGAGAAAAAAAAAAGTAAAAAAAGGGTCAGAGTTTGTTATTGCTTTTTTGTTTGTTTGTTGTTTTTCTTCGTGGCGTGTTTTTAATGTACACAGGTTTTTTCGTAGTGTTTTTAATTAGAGCAGCGTACAATCACGTTTTGTGATCGGAAGCAAATGGAGCCGCTCAGGGAGGGCGTTGTGCAAGGGCTCTGCTCTGTGTTTGCGGCGAGGACACTTTTTGGGGGGGGGGGAAACTGCTGAGAACTTCGTTCCAGCAATGTCCTTGGCACAGTTACGGCTTTCCTAGTCGCTTCCGCGATAACTATTTACAAGCAAGTGAAAAAACGAGGGTGATCTGTACACTTTTTTTACCCTAACCCGCGTTGTTTTGGGGGTGTCGGCATCGGGGGCTCGTGGCCGTGACAGCGGGGCCGGGGGTTCGTGGCTGTTCAGAAGGGCTGGGGATTATTCTGGTAACCAGAATTATTCTGATTATTCTGGCTCGGGCATTCCCCCTGCGTGGGGAAGTTTGGAAAACCCCCACCACTGCCATCCACCGCCCTGGGACTTGTGTGCTGCTGTCAGGGAAGGGTTCCGGTCAGACCTGTGGTGTGTGGGTGCCGTGGGTCGGGGGTTCACGGCTGCTTTGTAGCACCTGGGCGTTCTCCAGACGGGGTTTTGCCAGGGATGCCTCCGCCCTGCCGGCAATAGCCCTGGCTGGGGCTCAGCATGGCAGTGCCCCTTGCTCTCGGTGTAACAGGGGCTCTTCCTGAAGAGAAGAACCAGAGTTTTCCAGAGAGGTGCTATGTGAGGAGAGAAAAAATAAAGCAAAAGAAGGAATACTGCTGGAATTAATCCCTGGGGCCTCGTGGGGTGTGGTGCCGTTTTGTTAAAAGCTTGACTTGCTGTGGTGAGGAGCTCATCCCCACCGTCCTGTGCCTGCTTTATGGAGGCCCAGCACAATTTTTTGCTGCTTGTTCTCCGTGTAACTCCTGAGCCACTGGCACAAATGGAGCTGCAGGCCAGGTCACTGCTGCACACCAGGTAACGTGATCTCACCGTGTCTGCTTGCTTTGTGGCGAATTTTTTTTTTTTTTTTTTTTTTTGAGAAATATTGCAGCATCCCATTGTTTGTATTTGGAAAGCCCCCGAGCCTCAGATCAGGTGTACCCCGGGTTAGCACCACTGCCTGGCTTTTTAAAAATGAAACAGCCTTATGTACTCCTAGAAATGTCTCTGGTGCTTTTTCTTCTGCTGTAGAAGAACTCTCATCAAGACTGGTCATCTGCATCCATGAACTGTCAGTAACGTCTATGGCCTCTGAATTTGGGGTGACCCAGACCAGCCCTTTGGGTTGTTTTTTATCCCAGTGAGAGCAGAGCAGCCCAGTACCTGTGGCATTTAGATGCTGCTGCCACCATTATGTGTGGTAATCACATTCCACCAGCAGAACTGCAGAACCTGGAATTCTGGTTTTGGGAGGGTGGAGATGGAGGAACTGATTCTTTTATGCTCCTTCAGAACATTTCCAACAGTTAGGGCTCTGTAAGTACAAGGCTCCAGATGATTGTGAAAACACAGGATTTACAAAGAACATTAGGGCCCTTCTCCAAGGAGTAATTTATGTCCAGACATTGCATGCTGCAGATCTTTCCCAGCTCAGAAGTGATTATAGAAAATAATTCACCACCTGTGTAGTCAGCAGATGGTGCAGATGTGGTTCTTTGACAGAAGTTGTTACTTAGGAATATCCTAAAAAGGCAAAAAATCTTCTTTTGGATTTCTGATCATTATCATGCAGAGTGAAGGAAGTCAGACCTTCCACAATGACAAATCGGGGCTTTCCAAACTAGGTGAAAAAACAGCTTTTCTCCTGAACACCAGGCTCAGCATCATATGTGCAGGTCATTCTGCGGGTGAGGGACCTATGCATAACTTCCCCCAAAAACTCAGTGATTAAAGATTATTTAATTACAGCGTTTCCACGGGTGGTGCTTCAGGCTGTGGGAGTTCTTCCCACCTCCTGTTCTGCTCTTTAGCACCTGGTAATTAGGTGCAAGTGCGTGGTTGTTTCGGTAGGTGAGTGTTGGCCTGCTCTAGGTGAAGACTGGGGATGCAGGTTTATCTCATGGGACCTGAAAGAGGGAGAGGAAAGGTTAGAGCAGACCGTGATGTTCTTGGCAGTGTCTCTTGAGGGGTCTGGGCTCAGGGGGATGTGACGATGCTCTTTTTGAAGGAGAGAGGTGAACTGCTGGGATTCACTTCCTGGTCCAAGGGAAGAAACTGAGAATCCTAAAATGAGATGGAAGCTTCGTGCTGCAGTATTTCTGTGTAATGTGCAGTAAACGCCTTCCCAGGTTGCTTTTAACCTCCAAGCATCCAGCACCTTTCTTCTGCCCGCCTTCAACTTTGTTGTCACTGAACAGGTCTCTGCCTTCAGAGCAGGTTTAGCGTCCACTGGTGGTCTTGGGGACTGGGAGTTGGACTTCCATCACCCTTGTGGGTCCCCTCCAACTCAAGATACTCTGATTCATCACCAGAGGGCTACCTTAGGTGTTCCTGCCGTGAAAATCCTGTTTGCCCAGATTCCCCATTCACTTTTAAGCAGAGGTGGGCACTTCTCCAGCTTCCTTGCTTTATTTGCCCAACAGCAAGGAGAAACATAAGGACAAGTTGCTGCCTGTGGAGCTTTAGCAGGACCAGGGGATTTGAGAGAGCTGCATTTGATCTGCTGACAAGAAGTGCAGCCCCCTAACTGGGCAGGAATGCCTTCCACTAAACAGAGTTGCTGAAGGAATCACAATATTGCTGTGGTTCATTTTAAATAATTTTTAGTAGTTTGGAGGTATAAACTTACGCACAAGAAAAATTCCTGCGTGTGTGAATGGTTTGATATCATTCATGCCAGTAATGAGTACTTTGGGAATGCTTACTCTGAAGCCTTAGTCAGAGATATCTGGATATTTTTAATGAACAATTTATAGAATACTTTTACAGAACAATGTATTGAATACTCTTAATGAACAATGTATTGAATAGCAAAGATTATCTTGAAGAAGGGAAGTGGAAGGTGGTAGGTTTTTTGGGAGCTGGGGTGATTTTTAAGGTCCTTTCCAACCCCTGCCATTCTGTGATTTCTAACTCATTTCTCAATGGTGAGATTTGAGAAGCCACATGACACAGAGAGGTCACAGGATGGGGATGATGCCTGGGCACTTTGGTGTGGTCCTGTTGATGTGTTGAAAGAGTAAAGTTCTTCCTTGTTTTAAATTATTCTGCCCAAAATCAGGAAGCAGAACTGAACTGACTTTCAGGAAAATGGACTTTGCTGTACTGCACAATGGCGTCACAGGCTAAATTAAAATTAAGATGGTGGTTCTGTGTGGTCAGCACAGGGAAAGTGCTGGGGCTGTGATGCGGATTTGGAGGAACAACCTCAGCCAGACTGTCCCCAGCAGTCCCTGCAGCTGTGAAGGGACCCGCTGGATGGCTGGGCTGTGTACCCGTCCTAAAGGCACTTTAATCTCTTCAAAGGTCTCCCAGTGTGCAGGGGACCAAAACCAGAGGGCTGATATTGACAGGCTGGGAAGGTGGGGGTGATGAGCCTGGAGAGGAGGAAGTTGTGTGTGTGGAGACCATGTAGCAGCCTTCCAGAATCTGACAGGGGCTACAAAAGGGGGATTCTTCATCAGGAGCTGTAGTAGTGGGAGAATGGCTTCACACTGAAAAGAGGAGAAATTTAGGGTAGATATTGGGCAGGAATTGCTCCTGTGAGGGTGGTGAAGCACAGGCATGGGTTGCCCAGACGAGCAGAAGTGTTCCAGACCAGGCTGGACAGGGTTTGGAGCAGCCTGGGATAGTGGGAGGTGTCCCTGCCCGTGGCAGGGGCTGGAGCTGGATGAGCTTTACAAGTCCTTCTAACCGGAACCATTCCATATTTCTGTGATTCCATATTGTGGAAGTGCGTGTGGTGATCACAACGGCTCAGGGGGTCCCATTCTGGTACCTCTTCAGCAAGATCTAGGATTAGCTCTGCTGTGATTTAGGTGCACCTTGGTGTCTGAGCTGGAACAGCTGGTTGGGAAATTGGGGTGGTTCCGAAGGCAAATATTGAACTACAGGGTGTTTTGTGTCCAAACAGGCTGCTGAGATCCAAAATAGCCTGGCACTGGCTGATAAATCAATCCGTGCTCAGCTAAGTTACAGTCCCTGCAAGCTCGTGTCCTGCAGTCTGTTTATTTGAGGAGAATACGAGTGAAAATGGGGATTCTGACAAGTGAAAATAGGGGTTATGCTTTCTCCTCCTCCTGCTCCTGTTGCCTCTGTGATTGTGATTAGCACCCTAGCCCCAAGGCAGGGGTTTAAGCATTACAAGTCGTAGGAATTGGGGCAGGATTCCTTGCTTTGCACTGCTGTACAGTGCCTCTGTGAGGACGTTCCACTATCGGTGCTTTGTAGGGTATGTGCCGGAATTTAGGGATGGGAAAATAACCTTGGCTTGGGGAATGGAAGAAGACGTGCTAAAAGAACTCTTAATGCAGACATTTACTTAATATAGCTTGAAAACAAGTCAGAATCCTCTCTGTGTGGTTTTGCAACATGTAAAAACTGCAAGAAAATGCTGGTTTAGGTTTGGGGATTTTTTCTCCTGAAAGGAGAAACACAGGTTCTCAGAGGC